TGTGAGGTACAAGTACTTTACTTAAGTTTTTCATTTGATGCTACTTTATCATTCTGCTCCAATACATTTTGGCCGAAAATATTGAACTTTTTACATTTATTTGACAACATTAGTTACTTTTGCAGGTTTATATGATTAATACAAACATTAAATAAACTAATACAGTACTATTAAGGATGAAAATGCCTGGCAGTATAAAAAGTTATTCATGTTTATGTCATCCTTTAACCGCTGCAAAATTAAAATGATGGACCACAGAATAATGCATCACTAATTATGAACCAGTCATATATTATTTTTTTCAAAAATTGCCACTATGCATAATGAGCACCTTTACTTTTACTTATAGAAAAATATAAGTATAAGTATATTTTGATGCAAATAATGTTGTACTCTTACTTAGGTAAGATTTTGAATGCAGAAACTGAGTATTTTTAGACTGCGATACTTTTTAGACTTACTTTTACTATAAGAGCTGACTGAAAAAACGGAAACATTGATTTTAATTAAATGTATTACATAAACAAATTTCACGTCACTGTATTAGGTTAGTTGAAAGCAATAATATTAAGTTGAATCTAATGTTAGTTATTTTAACTCAATATTATTGCTTTCAACTACTAACCTAATACAGTTATGTGAAATCTGTCGATATAATACATTTAATTAAAGTCAACGTTTCAGTTTTTCAGGGAACTTCTTCCACCACTGCTACATTCATTCATATGTAAATGTAGAAACATCAACTCCAGATTGTTTTAGGCTCCTTCAAATGTACTTTTTTTTAAATGTTTAAGCAGGATCTGATCAAAGAGAAAGAAAAACAAACTTTCTTCACTTTGTATACCCAATGAAACATTAATCAGTAATCATGCATGCTGCAGACAGACAGCAGACAGGTTAACAGAGGGGCGTGGGGCCGTGCTATTTGCATTGAGAGCACATTCATGCCTGTACTGTGCTGATAACAGGCTCTCTGTGGATAGACTGTGACCGCATGATGTAATCCACATTTTCCTGCTTATACTGCCGCTTGCCTGTGATGTAAAATTTGGTGCACCATCTTGATGAGAACAGGACTGCTCTCTGTATTATACACACAGAGTGAAACACATGACAAGGAGACTTTGTCCTTTCTTTATCGTCAGTCAGCATAGACACGTTTGCACATTGTCGGAGCCAGTCATCAGATATATGAATTCAATGAACGTTTTTGGACGCGCAGAAATGTGTTAAGGCCTCCAGATGAGCGTTTACATCGGTTTGATACATGCACATACACAAATCAGTAGTTTAAATCCCTTGACAACCTCCGACATTGCTGATCCATATTATTCAGGAACATTCCGGCTATGTTTCAAATGTTTGCTTTAACAAGATCTCCGTATCATAAATCATAATTGATCTGTGTCTGTGTGTATTATTTCCGTTTGGCTTAATGATGGTTAGAAAAGGATGATCATTTGTGTTAACATTTCATTCTGAATAGTTAATTGCATGAAATGATGAGCTATTATGTATCTTTGACGGTGTGTGTGCAGACCCCAGGAAGAATAGCCAATGCTCATGCTAGTGCTGATGGGGATATTAATAAATAAAAAATTACCTACTGACAAAAACATTTGTATGAATTCCCATTTTTACCATATTGGTCAGAAATTATGGGATCCAACAAGCCATTCTGATTTGGCCCCTCTTTCTATATCACAATCAGGCCTATCAATCTCAAGCCATGAATCAACAAATACCTTAGCAATTTTTCTCGTGAGCCAATCAGAGTGGACTTTTTCTGGAGGGTGGTTTAAAGAGACAGGCACCAAAACCAAGAGCCTAAGCCACCAGACTGATTGATCTGTATCGACTGGTATCGACTGACCTACTGACCGATCTCCCTGCTGCAGTGATAATTGAGTAACAACGCAAATCATCCTTTTTAGATCATGTGTTAATGAGTTTTTCTGAAAACAGATAAAGAAAATAGTGCATGTTTACAAGTGCAGTTGACCTTTAACACGAGCCAGTAGACAAAGCATCTGTCAGGCTGGAAACCGTCACATACCTACTGCAGAACAAACTCAGTGACCTCAAGTAAGTTCCTCTGCTGGCGGTGGTAAACAGTGTCGCACAAAGATGGAAACTATAAGGTGATCCTGTTGATCAGAATGTTATGAGAATCATGTGAAACGCTTCTCTACACCACAGACACTGCTAGAAAATAAGGATAGCAAAGGAATGCATAAAAATCAATAATTGGATCAACTCCTATACTTTAAATTATTCAAAATGAACCTGAACTTAACACATAACTAGGGCTGCCACAAAATATGTTTTCATTATCTATTCATCTGTCAATTATTTTCCCAAGTGACCAATAAAATGTCAGAAAATTGTGAAACATATTGTTTTGTCCCTCCAATCCTCACATTTTTTATTTAATACGATATTAAACAGGAAAAGAAAACAGAATATATCCATATTTTTAAGCTTTAAAACAGCATGTACATTGATTTGTGCATGAAAACTTACTTTGTCCAATAATCAATAACCAAAATGATGGCTGTTAATACAAGTTTGAAGCCATGTTATCTATGCAGGACACAGCATGACAACAGCAACAAAGAAGAGAGGATTGTAAGAAATTACATACAAGTAGTTGTACGTTCAGCAAAGTGGATCTACAGCTGTTCTCATTATCTTTCTGAATTTCCTGAGGTGAGGTATGGTACATGGCTTGGTCCCAGAAAAGATTTGCGCAACAGGGAACAAAACATCACTCAGGCAGGCTGTTACACTGTTACATCAGTCTGTAATGAGAGGAGATCTGAGTGCATGTGCCACCAGGCATGCAGACAGAGTCCAGACAGAGCAGAATGTGGTAAACAGATTTGGAGACAAGAAAGAGGAACCAAAGTCATGGCTTAGCTCGGGGCGGGATCTCTTTCTTCCTCAAAGATCCTGATTGGTCTCTGTTAATAATGCCCCATCTGTGATTGGTCTCTTCCTGGGGAAAGTATTTAAATTCTGTAAAAAGGATTATTCCTGAGAAGTGTGTCAACTTAAAAGGAGGTGAGAATTGTTTGTCACAATAGCATTAGTCCTTATGATGAATCCTGACATGTGACTGTCTTTGTCCAGGTGATTTTAATGAAGTTCGTCTAGATAACATGTGATTAACTTCTGTTGTCTGAAACTCTTACTAGTAAAACTGAAAACATAAAAGCCCCCCGACCCAGCGGATTAAAAAAAAAGCATGAGCTAAAATGTTCTTGACGCCTTTGCAGGTTTTGAACCACCCATGTATTTAGACTTACGTAAATTGGAGTAGCGGAAAAAAATCATAGCTTTGAGTTTGAAAATGCTTAAAAGGTTGTGTTAGGACACAGAGACAATGTAAACAAGTCCCAGTGTACAATATACCACATGTCTAAAGTTATAAAGCTTGTGAGCTATGAGGAATAAAGCATTTACCTCAGTGACCAACCCTGCCGATGATAATCAGCTTCACCTCAGATAGCATGTGAACCTGCTGTGAAGGTGCAAAGTAACACTAAAGCTTCGTGGGACACACTTCTCTTACAGTACACAACCTTTGAGTGAAATCACCCAGAGGCCCCTTCCCCCATCTATAGCCCCCTTCCTGGGAGAGGATTATGGTGCATCTTTTAGCCATGCCATCTGCTCCAAATTGACTTTCACTTAACAAATGAGTAAGCTGTTGGAGCAAACAGCAGTGCTGATTTAGAAGTTTCTCTGTGGATGTTATGTTGTTGCATGTGATGTGCCTGAGGCGGAAGCGGAGGTTCAGAGGAGATGTTATCAGTGACAGGATGATGAGGAAAACACTTCCACTTCGATCAGGCCTCAATGCAGTCATTTGTGTTTCGCCTTAGCTAAAGATCAAAAAGCAGTACTCAATATTATTCTGCTGACTCTGAGGGACCCTGGGAACTGTAGTTAAATGCTTGCCTGTATAACCTGCCAGCTGCTGCCTCACTTAGACACACCTCACTTCCTCTCTCCCTTTATTTAGTTTTTGTTCTCATTTGCACGTGCACACTCTCCTGACCTCTTTTGTTTTCACACACTTACCTCAAACTCAAACCCATGAAGATAATAACGCCTGCTAATCGAGTAGGCAATGCAGCATCGGGTTGTGTGTGTGTGTGTGTGTGTGTGTGTGTGTGTGTGTGTGTGTGTGTGTGTGTGTGTGTGTGTGTGTGTGTGTGTGTGTGTGTGTGTTGTGCCAGGAGCACAAACAGCTGGTCAATAGCCCTTGACTCGTCTCTTCCCACCAGAGGTCATGACCCTATAGGGGCCAGAGGGCATTTGAAGTGTGCCACATTATGGACCCTTGATCGAGCCTAAAGAATATGCACCACCCACAACATACACTCACACATATATACACTTAGTGAAATTAATCTGTGAAAAGCAGTTGTATTGTTATTTAAAAAAAAATGTAGGACCTATAACTTATAAAAGGTAATACTTATACAAATGGCACAATTGCACAATTGCATTTGTATTTCTGTTGTGGTTTAACTTTAATAAATGTGTGTTACATGTTGACTACGTTTATTAGGTGTGTACACCTACTTGGTAGATTATAAGATTATTATTATTTATCATAGAAACATTAAAAAGAAAAATAATGATAATTGACAAGTCTAGTCATATTGTATTGTGTACGCTATATTGTGTATTTAATAATAAATATTAGTGTGTTTTTTCTTTTGAAAACCTTTGTGTGTGTCTCTTTTTATTTTAAGAAATTATCATAACGTTGACCCAAGAGAGAATATTAGGTCTCTTATTTAATTTGTAGTACTGACTTTAATCTGCGCATTGTAATTCATCATTTTACTTTTAGCCTACAAATATTAAGAGCACTAGTTGGGCTTCTGATGCAATACCCTAGCGGAGGAATCAAACCTTTGAGAACAGGACAGCAGAGGTTTGCCTTGTTGCCTAGATACGAACGCGGAGGGTGGCGAATCTCTCTGAATGAAACTGGCTTTTCGATAGCGGACATTGTGGTTCTGGGTATGAGTATCATCGAGGAATGACCTTCCTTATGCTCGAGCCGGAATGTCGCCAGTTTCCTTGACGCTGTTGAAGAAGCAGTGGATGTGAAAACAGCGCCATTTCTGTCGGCGTCCATGATACGCGATGCTACCGCAGCGGATTCCAGAGCTCGAGCTCGGAACGGCAGCGGGAGAGAAATAGCCGCTCCCCTTTCGCCGCTTCTCTTTACTTCAGCCCACGGCAGGTAGGTCAACCAGTGAACCGGCTTGGAACTTACTGTCGCACTGTGTTGTTTTTCTCCATGTTTTGTGTTTAGTCAGCCTACTCTTTCGTTGTATGACGATATGGCGTACATTTTGAAAGGGAAACGTCTGACAGTCCGCTTGTTGCCTACCCGGGCAGCCGCCTCCCCCTCGGTCACAACAAGCGGACGTGAAAGCTAACGATAGCAAACGTTTGTTTCAATTTGTACAGGACAATTTGCCACAATGTATGTTGACTGTTGGCCATTCTGGGCGCTACGGCTCCAACTGAAAGTTTAGACTCGGCCTAACGTTTGCGTGTTGCGGTTTGCTAGCTAACTATTTAATGGAGCACGGCCAGGGCTCTAATGTCACTGTACATAGGAGCCTCCGTTCACCTGCCCGACATAACAATCCAACGTTAGTCTGCTCGGGGACGGGGGACATCGCAATTGGAGTTACATTAATAACACTGCAATATAACATAGGTGTTAACCTGTCATGTCCGTTATGGTACCGTAAAACTAATACTTAACTGCTATTGACCGGAGACGAGCAGCTCTTGGCAGCTAACTTGGCTAACTTAGCTCATAAGCTAACGTTAAAGGTCGGTGGTCCAGCTAACCTTGCCATTTGACTGCAAAGTGACGCTATCACAAGTCACTTTAACGTTTGTTGACACTTCAGCAGCTACCAAACACTGATTGTGTAGTATTTAATCAAAGTAATGACAATACTTCTTAATCCTTATGAGTGTCCCTGGCTGTTATGTATTTGTATTGCCGCACTCGGCAGCCCAGCAATGTAACGTTAGCCTCTGTAAACTATACCTATTTGCACAACGTTAAAATGCACCTGAAATAAAGATAACTAGCCCGGTAACTATGTACAAATGGCATTACGTTGCTCCCTTTCCATGTCAGCGAAAAAAATGGGTTGTAGGAAGAAGTTGGTATGTGGGCAGTGCAGTCTGAAGCTAGCTGCCGGGGCTAATGTGAATACAAGAAACAGCTGGGTTGTAGACACTGGTCAGCCATATTTAGCAATTATCAATGGAGCTAGCTTATTTGAGCTGTTGTCCTTCCGTATTTATTATTTACCGACATTGTTCAAATGTGATATATTTATTTGTGCTAAATAATTGGTTCGGATACTGCGAAACTTTTGATATTGCCCTATTGACGCCGCAAACGACTAAACCATAATGGGACGACGGGTCCAGCCAATCAAATCGCCGCAGCCTCCATTTGCTCTTCACGTCGGTCCCCTAATCCGCTGCTGCCATATACAACACATGCACTTGACAGCAAGCGATCCCCGGCCCGTTGCCCGAGTTATATTATCATTGTTGTCCTGTCATTGGCACAAATCCAGGACATACTTGCTGTAATTATTTGCCAATTTAAATTATTCAGCTGTTGATTATGTGATTGCAATGAAGGGAATAACAAGCAACATGTTACTTCCTCTTTTAGTAGTTTTACAAAGCCTTGCTGTCATCCAATCGTTTCAAAATTACATGGTCATGATCATGAACACTTCTTCTGTGATAAAGTTATTATGCTCTGTTGCATAGATAGATGGTTATTACACATGCACACTTGAATAAGAGTTAACTAAGTTGTAAATGTGAAGCACATTTACAACTTAGTTAAGCTGCTCCTCCTGAAAACCTCTCTTGCCCCTATCCCTTCATTCACAATCACATTGTCAACCTGTTTATCAAATGTAAAAGTGTCATGATTAGAAGAACTGCTGCTGCATTATCTCAAGAGTTCATGATCTCTCATGAGCCCGTTAGCTTGCTGGTAAGCAAGGCTTTAAAGTTTAAACAGTCAGACTACGTCCTTTTCAAAGTTATTTTAAAATGATTACATTAAATATTGAAAACCAATTTATGTTTGCTCTGTTACAGGTTGTGCCGTTGAAGTAAGACGTAGCCCCAAAATGGACCACTCCGACTGAGACGCAAACACATCCTGTGTTTTGCTCAGCACTGAGGTCTATCTGCAGCCTAAGCCATGCCTGACGTGTAAAATCCCCTTTTTGCTAAAAGCAATAATAAAAAAACATCCTACATGCCTCCCCATGCAGAGTCGCTTCAGTGCGTCCTGCTGGAGTGACTACCCCCTCTTCCCAAGGTTCTGCCTCGTCCTCTCTCTGTTCCCTTCTCAACCGACCACCCTACAGTAACTACCCATCACAATGTTACTCCACCTTAGAATGGCCAACACCTGAGGTCCCATGCGTCCAGTGAGCACCGATTCAGACGGTCCTGCTCCTCCTGAAAACCTCTCTTGCCCCTATCCCTTCGTTGGCCCCCTGCCTTCCTCAGAGATGTCCTTGCTCCAGTCGCTGGGTCCAGTACAAAGCTGGCTTGGCCAGGAGCTTGAGAAGTGCGGGATAGATGCCCTGATTTACACCCGCTACGTCCTCAGCCTCCTTCTGCATGACAGCTACGACTATGACCTGCAGGACCAGGTAAGCAGCCACAAATGTTTGGAAATATTCTTTGTCAAAAAACTTAAAAAACAGTTTGTCAACTGTTTGGGTTTTGCATTGTCAAGTGAGTGGGCAGTACGCATTGTTTAGGAAGGGAAGTTATTTTTTGAATATAAAGGGCTCATTAGAAAAAACACCAATGTGCCAGGAGAGGTTAACAATGGGGGATTCCTTTCACCTCATAGCACTTGCACAACGTCCTTTGATCTCTGTCATTTGTCATTACAGCTCTTGTTATGCTTTAAAAAAAATAGTAATAGTAACACCAGTGTGTCTTTTTGTTACTGACTTTCTCGTTTTGTGTGACAGGAGAATGACATCTTTTTGGGCTGGGAGAAGGGAGCTGGAAAGAAATGGGGCAAGAGTAAGAAGAAAGGAGGGACTGACCTGAGTCTCGAGGAAATGAAGAAGCAAGCTGCTGTGCAATGCCTCCGCTCTGCATCTGATGAAGTAAGCACTAATATCAATATCAATATAATCATTTAAAAGGAGTGTTATTCAAGTAAGGCTTTTGTTTGACCTGCCTCTTATTTTATGAAACCTTTGAGTGAAAAGCAGTCTGAATACAGGCACGTCACCAATTTGTAACACTAGTAATACTTTCTTTTTGTTAATGTGCAGTCATGCAGATGTAAATTGTATAAATCACGGTGAATAGACATGGAATAAATCTCTCTGGGAAGCTAATGCTATCCATCAGGGAAGATCTTCATTGTACATGCATCGTAACTTCAATTGCGTCCAATTGGTGTTCATTGAAAAGGGTCATATTAAAGTCAGGACTTAACATAAACCATGCTTTACACACTTATGATGCGTGACCTTACAATGGTGCTGTTCGCATACAAGCATTTATCTTAAGATTCTATCTATTGTTATCCATTCCTTTTTGTGAATCATAAAGCCACAGAGATCTACTGACATTTCTGTCACTTGCCGGCAATAGTAAGGGGAGGATGGTCTCGTTGAGAATGACACAACGTAGAGCTGGAGGGAGGGGAAGGGTCTGCAAGGCAGGAGGAGGAGGAGGAGTGTTGAGCTCCTCTCTGGGGAGTGGATTCTGCAGTCTATTTTTTAACCAGCACACGCTGCGCAGGATTGCAGCAGTGAGCAGCGTAGTCGGTCGGTTGTCAGCTGACCGGCATTAGCACAATGATGCAAGAGGAAACACAGGGCAGGAGAAAACTTTGCTTGGCTTTTCATGAGGCGGCATGGTAAGGAATATTATTTTCTGGATGAGTGAACAGGGAAGGAGTGAGCTAAAGTGTCTGTCAGGACTGAGGTGATTTGTTTGAGGCAATTTCCCTCGACAGTGCCTGCTTGATCGAGCTTGCAACCTGACATTGTTGTGTTGTTTATTTCAAACCCTTGTTGTTTACATTTTCCACGAATCAAATTGCTCAATGTGAGAAGGAAGTAAGCTAAACCGGATATGTAGTAAATGTTCACTTACTCAGAACACAGCGAGGCAATACCTTGTCCTGTTGTTTAGCCTCTTTATTTATTTATTTTTTCAAAAAGTATTTCGGCAGCATAGCTAAATATAGAACCGTCATGACCGAGCATGCCTAAGCTCTCGCAAGTCAGCTGGCTTGACTTGTGTCAACCCCATGCCTTTCATTCTTCACATTTTCTGTCAATGTAGCTTTTGGGAATTCTGCATTCTTACCTAAGGCTATTAGATCTCAGGAGTCATGTTGTATTTGGAGTTTGAGTTATCTATTGTATTTATTTTGTTTATGTCATAGCTGTTTTGCAAATATCTTTTTAATGTTCTTTTTATCACAAAGACCAAACATGATTCAGTTTCCCCCTTAAAATAACTGAGCAGGATTTAGATAATTCAACTGATCAGTACAATATCACTAAGAAAATGTAACATCAGTAAAACTCTACCATGATATTGACATCATCATAATTTCTGTTTCATAGTAAGATATGCAATTTCAATAGAGTTTTGAGAAGGTCTTTTATAGGTGTAACTTTTTTTCCCAAAACAGGTTTTTGAGTTGGAGCATGCTCATACCAATTTTAACTATTGTTTTTTGCCCTCATTTGTGCAGAACTCTGGAATTGAGAGCCTGGTTGAAGAGCTTTGTTCTAAACTAAAGGACATCCAAAACAAACAGAAAGGTTTGTTCGGTTTATCATTACGAAGTGTTGTGTAAAAAAAAAAAGAAGAAAGAATTTGAATAATAATTGCACTAATAAAATGTCTTGTTCAATTTCTTTTTTTATAGAAGAGAAACAGATACAAAAGAAATCTGATGGCTCTCAGTCTCCAGAGCGAGCTGAGTCCCCCTCTTCAAAGGACCAGGTGGAAATGTAAGCTATATAATGGATATGTGAATCATTTTATGTACAAAAGTGACTGCAGAACAACATCCACATGCATTTGTTTATTTCAACTGTACCGTTATGAATGCATTTAAATCAATTGTTCTCTCTTTTTGTTGTGACTGCAGGTATTATGAAGCCTTTCCTTCTTTGTCAGAGAAACCTGTTTGTCTCCAAGAGATCATGACGGTGTGGAACAAGGCTAAGGCCTGCGCATATTCGAGTTCATCGTCTGCTGCTCCACAGACCAGCACAGACACCTCTTCCCCAAAAGATTGCAACAGTGAAGGGGAGGCTGCAAAGGAGAGAAACCTCGAAGCATGTGGTACCATCACTACGACGTCCAACGAGAGAGGCCAGCACCGACGGAGCAAGAAGGAGAAAGAAAATAGATACCGTGGTGGTGCAGCAGCAGAGGAGAAATCTACCGTCCACTCGAAGAGACAGATGAGACACAGATCTGAGGGCAAAAACAGACCCAGATCCTGGTCCTCTGGCTCTAGTGAGGCCGGCTCAAGCTCTAGCGGGAACCAGAGTGACTTGAAGTCATCCAGAAGCAAGGCAGTTAGAATAAGGCACAAATCCAGGGAGGCTGCTAAAAATAAGAGAACACGCAACAGCGGGCAGGTGAAGCTGCAGGTGAAGGTCATTGAAAAGGAGGAGCGAAGAAATACAGGAGGGAGCAGTAGCAGCGCCACTGGAGGCGCTGCTAAACAACCACAGCTTTACAAGAAGGGGAAGAGACCTCTGAAAGAGATTCGTAGAGATCCAGGCTGGAAGGAGGCTAAAGAGTCCGGAGTTGAGGCCAGAAACAGAAAGGAATACATGGAGGAGCCTCTTTGGTACACTGAGCCCATCACAGAGTATTTTGTACCTTGCAGTAGGCAAAGCAAGCTGGAAACAAAATATCGCAACAAGGTAGACTCTCCTGATGGTTTTGATTTGTCGACCGACATGGAGAGGCTGCCGGAGAGATTCCAGGGAATCTGCATTGCCAATGAGAGCTTCCAGAGAGCGTACCTAGCAGCAGGCTCTTTTGTCGATGGGCACTTTGTGGAAGGGCCTGGCGAAGCAGAAGATGAAAGTGTTGAACTCACTGGGACCTCATGCTGCCCTCAGCCAGAGGATAGTAGAGATTTAGATGACAAGCATCTGTCTGAATTCACTCACTTCTATGAAGTTGACATTTATCAATCCATATTGGATACTAGTGCCTCAGAGTCTATACAAGAGAGTCGGATCTTAAGCATGATTCGACAAAAAAGCAAAGAGCAAAGAGACGTCGAGGCAGAATGTTGTTTAGTGTTAGATGGCCTTGAGCAGCATGGGAAAATTGCAATACGGGCAGACTCACAAGAACCTCTGGGATCAGTTGGATTCCTAATGGAGGATCTTGAAAACATGGCTCAAGTGTGGGGATGTTATTCACCATCCACTTCAGAAGATATAGATGGAGAAAGCTTCATAGGAGACTCTCCCATCCGCCTCTCCCCCCTCCTTGATAGTGTCTCGTTCACCCTGAGCAAACTATCTGGAAATCTGGAGGAGCCAATTGTCCCTGAAGCCACCAGTGAACCATCTTGCTTCTCTCTTTTCGAGCTGCAGTATGAGAGCCCCACGTTCCCTTTTCCCCGCGACTCACTCACCGTTGGTCATGAAAACAACACAGATTCTAGTAGCTGTCTCGACCCGCATTCTAATAAACAGTCTCGTTTGCTAATATGGACCAAAAATAGTGCCTTTGACGAAACTGAACACTGTTCTAACCTTTCAACAAGAACTTGCAGTCCGTGGTCACATTCAGAGGAGACTCGTTCAGACAACGAGCAAGGAAATGTTCTGACCGAGGATGCTGTTCAAATTGGCAATGAAGAGATTGATTGTATAATCCCTCCTCTCTCTGGTACATATCTAGAGGATGAAATCCTGGATTTCTTGCAGGCGAACTCTGGCCGCAAATGTGAGGAGGTCAGTGTAAGCACGGCATCCAATAAGACCTTCACCAAAAAATCTAAATTGGAGTCCATTTGTGGTATAGCATTGGAAGAGGACGAGGGTAAACAGTACAGCACTGGCATGTTTTCGGACGACACAAACCAACACGGTGACGACTACAGCTCAGGGATAATAAAGGACATTTGGACTGCAATAGGAGAGGAAAAATCTGTAACGGTGAAGCAAGGAGCAGAACAACCAAGCGAGGGCCTGTTCTCAGATGAGTCCGGCGGTTACTGCTGCAGCCGCCTGGAAGTGCAGGCCAAAGGGGATCCAATTAAGGAACCTCAGAAAAAAGCAGTGCAGCGCTCAGAGTATCACCTTTGGGAGGGCAAGAAGGAAGAACAGGACTTAGCCAAAAACAAACTCTCCAAGGTAGATGATGCAGGGGATTATATGACTCCGTCCAAGCCCTGGGACCTGAACTCTGACAAGGAGAACACAGCATTCATCCTTGGAGGGGTGTATGGAGAGTTGAAGACACTAAGTGGGGATAAGAATTGGGCTCTTGTGCCACCTAGTGACACCCAACATAGCCTGCTACAGTGTACCGCTGCGTCTGCGTCTGCTTCCAGCTCAGATATGCTCACCATCACCGGCACAGATGTGTTCATGAACACTGGCAGCTGCTTTGCCCCCGGGCACCGGCCCCTGTGGAGACCTCTTGTGTCTTTTGGGCAGAGTGACCAGGCCATTAGAGGTAGTGGGGATGGATTGAATAAGGGATTTTCTTTCATCTTCCATGAAGATTTGCTCGGTTCCTACGGAGGCTTGCGTGGTGAAGAGCAAGGTTTGGAATACCCGTTCACATCCTTCAACCTGAACAATCCCTTCTCTCAAGTCCTCCACGTCGAGTGTTCTTTCGAGCCTGAGGACATGGCTTCATTCAGTCCGGGCTTCAAGCCCAAGTCGATTCTTTGCTCGGACTCAGAGAATGAAGCCTTCCACCCACGCATATATGGCATCAACCGGACGCAGTACAGGGCCATTCGCATCTCCCCCAGGACTCATTTTCGACCAATATCGGCCTCAGAGTTGTCTCCCGGTGGAGTGAGTGATTCCGAGGCCGAGACTGACAAGGAGGAGTTGAGTTTTCCCGTCCTGGCGCCTGTGGACGTCTTCGATGATCCTCAGGCAGATCTCAAACCTCTGGAGGAGGATGCAGAATGTGAGGGCCCCTATTACGGGAAGTCAGAACTGGAATCTGGTAAATTCTTACCCAGATTAAAGAAGTCTGGCATGGAGAAGAGTGCCCAGACCTCTTTGGATTCACAGGAGGGCTCCAGTACCCTCCTGCCAATTGCTGAGCAAGAGATTTGCTTAGACTGCAAGACTGCAGAGGCTGCATCAACTGCAGGCGGTCAGACAGACGTCTCTGTCGGCAAGATTCAAAAGAAGGAATCTTCAGAAGAAAAGCAGTCCTGCTTCTCTGCACCAGTGGGTCAGATCCCCAAGTATGGGATTGCTTATGACTTTGTGGGAGATGTTCCAGAGGTGAGGGTTTCCTCCTAAAATGATGTTGTAAGAATGTTCTGTGTGCTAGTGCATTACAACAAAACTGTTTGCATAACCACACAGTGTTTTCATAATCTGTCAAATGGCTGTTAAAAGGGTTTCACCTTACTGACACACTAACCACTTCTCATTTGTCTTTTATAGTTCCCTCTGTTAAATATAAGTGGACAAAGAGGAACCGGCAACCAGCAAGACGAGTGCTGGTGGCAGAACACACTCTGTTCCCCCCTTTTCCCTGGATCGCAGTGTACAGGTATACCGTTTTAAAAAAATAAATAAAATACTTTTACATTTTATTCACTAGCAAAGAGAAAATATAATCACTGCCAACTATTTAACTGTTATTAAAACTGTATTAGGTACAGTGGCGATTCTACGGGGTGGCAGCTGCTACCTCAGAAAAATGCCTTGCCACCCCAGCTGCCACCCCAGTTGGCAGCTTTGTTTTGAAAGAAAAGTTGTGGCTCATT